TCCTCGTCTATGTCCTCATACACCTTATCAGTGGCAATCTGAGGTGGGTGGTGCACTGAGAGGTCTAAAGCGGTGGCTATGTGCTGTATCATGTCCGAATAGGAAGCAAAATCAGCTGCTGGAGAAGTTGGGTTGTTATCGTCAATATCTGAGCCTGGTGTGTTTGCACCTTTTTCTTATGTTTGGTACCGTGGGAGAATTCTCAGCGTCCGCAAGAGGATCTCGGTATCGTTTCCTCGGCACGGTACCGGAGGTTCCGATACTGTGGGCAGCCAAAGCGCAGTCCCAAAGCTTGGAGTGGGAAGTAGTTTCAGCCTGTTTAAGGCGCTTTGGCACTTCCGGTACCGACTTGGTCTTATTTTTAGCTGTTGGTACCGAAGAGGCTAGTGGAGGTTGGTGTCGTTTATGGTCGCTACCGTCAAGCTCACGATCTGACTGAGGTGTCGGAGGATGAAGAGGAGGACGAGCTCGAATTTGAAGTGTCAAATCCGTAGACAAGACAGGGATCATACAGCTTCTCCATTTGTTTCCGCCAGTTTTACCGAATGGAAGAGATGGCTAGTCTTCCATGAGGCTACGGCCCTTCTTATGCTTGGGGTGATGCTTTCGAACCCGTTTTGGAGACCTTTGGTCCTGAATACTTCGAAGACTGGGAATCTCCGATTGCTGGCACAATATGTTTGGTCTTTTCTTTCCTCTTTTTTGGTGGTACCGAATCCAGTATCGGTGAAGTGTATCCTTGTTCAGATGGTTGAGGTAACGGTGACCCAGGACTCATGGGTACCGAGGATTCTCGGGAAGGCACTTCAATTGGTGTCTCCTCGGTAAGAACCGGGAGAGGCGGGGAGGAATGGTCTGTGCGCGTGGGAGGAGAGGGCTCCCTGGAAGAGTAAATTTGCGATGGTGATCAAAGAGATGGTCATTGGGGTGTTAACTGCTTGAAAGGAGAGGAGGGTGGCCTATTGGACTTTGAAGATGAGGACTTGGCTTTAGATTTGGCAGGGAGAGAAGTCTTGGTTTGGGAGCTTGGTTTGGAGGGATGAAGGAGGCATATCAGCAGTTGTGGAAGTTGATTTATTGTACATTTCGGGCGGTTGAAGGGACTTCTCCCACAAAGTGGCGTGTAGACGGAGGTCTCAAAGTTTCAGCGCCTGTTTAGTTAAATTCCTACAGTGAGGGCAGGACTGCGGGAGATGAGTCTCGCCCAAGCAGAAAAGGCAGAACCGATGACTGTCTGTAGATGGAATCTTCTTGTGGCGGGAGGCACAGCTTTTAAAGGAGACCTTCGGTGCCATAAGAAGGCAGGAAAAATGGGAGGAAACGGGGAAGCGAACTTAGGGAAGGCTAAATGGTAAAACTTTATTTTATATATATCTATATCTACCCATATATCTGTATCTATAGATAGATAGATAGATAGATAGATAGATAGATAGATAGATAGATAGATAGATAGATAGATAGATAGATAGATAG